CTGAAAATCAGAGGCTCCATTAATATGGGAGGAGGGAGAACAGGTATTAGGGCACGGTTCGCTGCTGTATTTGTCACATCCGTCATAAAAGAAAGAAATGCCATAGATCTTTCTTCTCCCACCAGAAACTAGTCCTCAGATATTTCGTTCTATTATACCTTGCCACACTAGAGTCACATATCGTGAAGGAGACAGTGATGAATGAAGCCACAGAGCAGAAGAAGGCCTGTTTCAAGAACCTAACAGTCTTAAAAGGCATCCCTGATAAGAACAGGTTCTTCTGTGAGGACTTTGCAAGCCCAGAATGATCATAATGTATCACGTCTAGATTATAACTAGATTCTTCAAATCATTCAACAAGCAAGTCTGTGCCAATACGCTATGCCTGTTTATCTTACTTGTTTCAATCATCAAGCTAGAAAGTCAAGACCCCAACTTCCATTCCCACGTAGGCCCGTTAGTTGCATTTCATTCCACAGACAAAGACGCATCCATCACAGTCATCTTATGGGCTTCAACGTTGGTCACAAAAGTAAATGGAAGGATGAACGCAGGAGATGGAAGCTGGGAGGAATAAACAGTTAACATTTGGGATGCTGGATACGCAGGGCAAATCCATCATTATTATTTCTGAATAAAGCAACTCAAAATCTGTAGCATACTTACACACCTATGCAGAGTATACTTTGTATAAACTTACTGTAGTGTGTACCTTGATGTTAAAACACAAAGTGAGCCATACAAGAGCAACAGAAAACGTAACCTTCTCCTTTGAAAAAGGGTTCTCTGCTTGGAGGATGTCAGGATGTTAAAAATGAAACCGAGGGCTGATTCTAGCAGTAACGTGCTTCTCACACGATGCTGGATTCATATAGAACATAATGGTCAACCCATAAATGCCAGGCACTCAGGCCCATGATCCCGGCTGGCAGGGAAAGCTGGAGGGAGATCACAGCAGGACACCCTGCTGAGGGTCTCTCACAGAGAATATAAACTTAAGAAGAACCAAAGATGGAGATCGCAAGAGCAGAGTGGTGTGATGCCAACTGGATGCATAAATGCTAGAAAATTTCGCAAAAAGACCACCCCATGCTGCCCCCTCCCTAGGAATATCTTTCTTTTTTTTTTTTTAATTTTGCCAGAGGATTTGTGCACTCACCAGAAAGATAGATAGACAGAGAGATTGGAAGAAAGCACCCCTTCTAATGGGACATGGTCATGCAATTGATTCTCCATTTCTCTATCCTCTTGGAGTTTGGAGCACATATTCACATATGCTCAGCATGTTATTCAAGCCTCCAGGGTTGGGATTTGAACCATCATGGTTGGCCATACGGGATTCAGTTCCCTAACCACTAGCGAATGGATGGGCCCCTAGGAGTATCGATCTGACTTGTCTGCCTAGTGAACTCTTCAGAACCTACAAGAATTACCTTCCCCTTTATGCTTCCCCTATTTCTTAGATTTGGTTACTTTCTCCCCCATGTCACCACCCTACCTGACACATGTTTCTGTCCCTTCACTTTCTCCTTGGTAACTGAACCCTTGTCTGTCTCCCTATTAGAGTATAAGCTTCTTGAGAGTAGGCAGCATGTCCTTTCATCTTTGCATCCACAGCTCATCACAGAGTACTGATCTCAAAGACCATGGAAGGGCATCCTAAACTGGATATGAGGTTAGACGAGATGGCAGAAAGCTCCCTGCCAGCATGCCAGAATTATACAGAAGCTAACTGTGAAGTTAGACTTAATTTCAATTTTCTTTTCATATAGAAAGTGATTTTTTCCCCCCAAGAAATGTAGAATTTGGGTAGAGGGAGCATGAAAGGATTCCAAGAGGAACAGTCTTACTTAGAAATGAAGAAACTAGGTATGTGTGAGTGTCTG